TCTTCCATGTGGGCTTTGTTGCTTCTGAGCTAGATGGCTGCTTGTTTACCTTCAAGCCTTTAAGACCCCGGACACTATATCTTTTGATAGCCCGGCACTATTAGCTTTCTTCACCACATTTGCTTATGCACCCATCTGTCTTCAGTGATCGTATCGGGGAGGGGAGCACACAATGATATGATTTTTTTGTTCTTTAATGCCTGATAACTGATCCCTTCAGCACCCCATGATCACGCAGGCTGGTGTGCTTCTTCTGTGTGGACTTTGTTGCTTCTGAGCTAGATGGCTGCTTGCTTATCTTCAAGCCTTTAAGACCCCAGATGCTATATATTTTGATAGCCGGGCACCATCAGCTTTCTTCACATTTGCTTATGCACCTTCTTTGTCTTCAGTGATCGTGTCGGGAAGGTGAGCATCATGGAATGCCTGTTTAATAGAACAAAATATGCTTGCATTGAGGGAGTACTTGAGTGGAGGCCCAATGTCCATCTGCTACCTTAATACTAAACCTATACAAATATGCACATAGATCTATTTCCACATCCTCATATATAAATCTATTTACATATGTACGTGCCTTTATTTAGACCTTTATAAATACCCTTTCCTAGCACTTTCCTTTAGTTCCTTTTACTTTCCTCTTGGATGGAACACAATTTAAATGAGAAGAAACAACTGCAAACACCAGTTAATAATCGGAAGTTGGAATCTACAAAGTATAAATCTAAGAAATTTGGAAGTTGTAACACATGAAATGGTGTACATAAAGATCGATATCCTGGGCACTAATGAACTGCAATTGTTCAATACATCCTTTCCTGATTTCAAACCGTGCAGTATTTCATGGTTTTGTTCAAATGAATGATTGTGGGATTCTTGGTCTTTGTACAGGTTCCTAATGTGCACAATGAGCATTCAAGGCTCCAGGAATTGATCAAATATCAATTGAAATATTTCAACTGTTGATGAAACACTGGGAGGACTCGTTCATCTATGCCAGAAAATTTGGAAGACAGCTACTTGGCCAACTGACTGGGTGAGATCCATAGTTGTACCCACTCCATGGACAGGTGGGCCAACACAATGCTCAAATTGCAGGACAATAGATGAGTCAGTCAGGGTGCAGGACAGCACCGATGAAACACACAACTTTCCTCTAGCCCTTTGGTGCTGCCTTCCCCACACTATCATGACCTCAATTCTACCTTACAAGTCGGATTAGACCAGGGCATGCGCACTGCTACAGACAAGAGCCCACAACACGGGGAATCCAGGATAGATAAACCCCTCAAGGCCAACAAGGAGAGTAGAGATACTAGGAGGATTAGGCGAGGGTGGGGGGATAAAGCGGGAATCAATCACAAGGATCAATCTAGAACCCCTTCCCAGAGGGACAAATAACGGAGAAGTGAGTGAGGGGTATTGGAGGATGATGTAAGATATGGAAAAAATAATCTATAACTTATCAAGGATTCATGAGGGCGGGTGGGGGAGAGTGGGGGAAGAAATGGGGAGCTGATATCAGGGGGCTCAAGTGGGAAGAGAATTCTTTGAAAATGATGATGGCAGTATATGTGCAAATATACTGTAACACATTGGAGGAATGCATGGACTGTGATAAGAGATGTAATAGCCTCCAATAAAATATTTAAAAAATACATAGAACAATATCATTCATATCACATGTAAAATTTTGTTGAAGGTCATCCAACAGCAGCAGTACATTGACAGGGAGCTGCTAAGGTTCAGGCCAAATTCAGAAAAAGACATATCAAAGAAGAGAATACCAGAAAGATGTTTACTTGTGTTGTATTGACTACACAAAGGCATTCGAGTGTGTGGATCATAATAAATTATGGGTAGCCTTGGAGAAGAATGGAAATTCCTGAATACTTGATTGTGCTCATGAGGAACTTGCACATAAATCAAGAGGCAGTCATGAAAACAGAACAAGGGAATAGTGCATGATCTAAAATCAGGAAAGTTGTGTGTCAGAGTTGTATCCTTTCACTATACTTAGTCAATCCATATGCTGAACAAATAATCAGAGAAACTGAATTTTATGAAGAAGAATGTGACCTCAGAATTGGAGAAAGACTTATTAACAAATTGAGATATGCAGATGACACAACCTTGCTTGCTGAAAGTGAGGAGAACTTGAAGCACTTGCTGATGAAGATCAAGGATTGTAGCCTTCGGAATGAATTAAAACCCAATGTAAAGAAGATCAAAATCCTCACAACTGGACTAATAAAATGACATCATGATAAGAGAAAAGACTGAAGTTGTCA